AGAGGGAGAGGGGAGAGGAGGAGGGAGAGAAGAGAGAGAGAGGAGAGAGAGAGAGAGAAGAGAGAGAGAGAGAGAGAGAGAAGAGAGGGAGAGAGAGGAGAGAGAAGAGAGAGAGAGGGGGGGAGGAGAGGAGAGGAGAGGGAGAGGAGAGGGAGGGGGAGAGGGAGAGGAGAGGGGAGGGAGGGAAGGAGGGAGAGGAGAGGGAGAGGGAGAGGGGAGAGGGAAGGAGGGGGGACGATGTGGACTTGCGGGGCTCTTCGCGGAATACTAATAGCCAATTAACGAGAGAGCGTTGGAGGAAGATTTTAGTCTTTCTTTATTGTGTATGTGTGCATGATGTGTGTGAAGTATAAGTAAATGATAATAAATAATATGTTGTTCTCAATCATTCAAATTTCTCGTTCAAGTCGTTTGCGTCGGCCTTGAAAACCCAAGCCTTTTTTTTTTACAATGCCCCCAAAAAATCCGCTTTCCGTCCTTACCTTCTTTGTCGAGGTAGATCCTCGTCAGGTAGTTTGCGTCCTTACACCTAATAAGCACCATCTTGGAAGTAACCGAGTCCACGCCGGAGTCCCAGTCGGTCTCCGTGTCCACCACCTTGCGGGAGTCCATGCTGGTGGCCGGACTCGTGGCCAGCGAGCCCAGGAGCCGCTGGACCGGCTGCCGCAGCGGGGACTCGGCCCGCGACTCGGCCCGCGGCTGCCGCCCACCGTCCGCGGCGACGACCCGCGGTTCACGCACTTCGGGCTCGCCCCCCGGTGGATCGGGCTGGCCCCCCGCTGCACCGGACTCACCCCGCGGTGGATCGGACTCGAGATGCGGTAGTTCCTGTTCTCCGGCACCCCGCTGAGGCTCCGGCGGGGGTTGCTGACGGAGGACTCGTTGCTGCGCGGACTGGCCGCCCGCTCCCTGGCCAGGGGACTCGGGCCGCGGTCGGCCTCCACGGGCAGCGAGATCAGGTTCCCGTTCATGGCGGGCCACGACTCCCTGCGGCCGTAGCTGCTGCTCCGGGGCACCCGGCGGACCTCACGCTTGGGCGCGGGCTCCTCCTCCGCCTCCTCCTCTCCTCCTCTTGCCTCTGGTCGTCCGGGTGCTCGTCCTGCCGCTCCTCCTCGTCCGGGATGAAGACCTGGTCGTTCTCCTCCTCGCTCTTGTCGCACTCGATGTTCCAGCCGCCGCCGCCGCCGCCGCCGCCCCACTCCTCCTGCTCGGGCGACGACCAGTTCCTGTTCTGGCGGTTCCACTTGGTCGAGTGCGTGTTCAGCTTGTCGCGCACCTCCAGGTTGTCGTTCTCAGGCGAGCTCCACTTGTCGCCCTCCTCGAAGCGCCGCCACGGCTGCCAGTTCTTGGTGGGCTTGTCCTTGACCTCGATGCGGCACAGCCCGTACTTGAAGTAGTTGTAGTTCTTGTTGCGCAGGTTGATGCGCTTGGGGCTCTGCTGCGAGTACTCCTTCACCACCGACTTGAAGTCCGACGGCGCCTTCGGCTCGGGCTCCGCCGGCTTCCGCACGGGCGTCGACGTCACGTGGGCGCGCCCCTTCTTCGGCGGCGCCTTCTTCGGGCTGGCCAGCTGGCCAGGCTGGCCCTCGGGCGGCGACTCGGGCGAGCTGGCCTTGTCGCGCCCCTTCTCCCCCACCTGCACGGGGATCTTGCTGGCCGTCCTGGCGCCGCGATCCGCGCCGTCTTGCTGCTGCTGCTGCTGTTGTTGCTGTTGCTGCTGCTTCTGCTGCGGCTGTGGCCTCTGCTGCTGCAACTGCTTCTGCTGTTGCTGCTCTTGATACTTTTGATTAGTTTGCTGAGGATGATTATTGTGCTGCTGGTGCTGCCGCAGTTTCTGCTTCTGCTGCTGTTCTAGGAACTGTTGCTGTTGTAGGCGATACTGTTGCTGTTCGTGCTGTTGTTGGCGCTGCTCCTGTTGGTGCTGTTGTTGGCGCTGCTCCTGTTGGTGCTGTCGATGGTGCTGTTCAAGCTGTTTTTGCTGCTGCTGTTGCCGATGTTGCTGCAAATGCAGCTGCACCTGCTCCTGCTGTCTCTGCTCGTGGCGCCTCAACTCCTCTTCCAGCTGGTCGACGTCCACTTCGTCCACGTCGCCCACCGAGTGCCTGGGACTCCCGTGGCCCAGGTCGAAGCTGTACAGCCTCTGCATGTGCCGCGGGCTCACGCTGCCGCCGCCCTGCGTGTGGCGGGGCTGCCCAGGTAGCCGCTCCGGGCGCTGTGCCGCGGACTGCCGAAGTTGCCGTTGCCTTGGAGATTCTGCTGCTGTTGCTGTTGTTGTTGCTGCTGCTGCTGCTGCTGCTGCTGTTGGTGGTGGTGGTGATGTCGGTGGCGCGGACTGTCGCTACTGTTGCCGTTGCCGTCCTGGCGGCCGCCGCCGCCGCCGAAGCCGTTCCTGTTGGTGTGCCTGGGGCTGCCGTTGTTGTTGAAGCCCGGGGGCGGCGACATGTGGCTGGGGGCGTCGCGGCCATCGCTGCTGCTGTCGCTGCGCGTGTGGCGGGGGCTGGCGCTGGCGTAGCTCACGTGCCGAGGACTGTCACTGCCGCCGTAGTTGACGTGACGGGGGCTGACGCTGCCGTAGTTGACATGTCGGGGGCTCCCGTTGGCGTAGCTGACATGTCTCGGGCTGCCGTTGCCATAGTTGACGTGCCTGGGGCTGCCGTTGCCATTCCTGCCGCCCACGTGGCGAGGGCTGCCGTTGCCATTGCGGGCGTTGTTGTTGTTGTTGTTGTTGTTCTGGCTGAGTCCCTCCCGGCTCACGATAATGTCGGGGACCTGCCTGTTGTCCAGGATCATGGCGTCCTCGCGAGACCTTCACCAACTACGCATGGAAACACAAACCAAAACCGAAAATCACGACAAACGGAAACACACACAAACGCACAAACTAACTTCCTTCCTTCGTTTCTTCTTCGATCCTTTCTCTTCCCCCCCGTTTCTCCGAGGCGTCGTTCCTTCCTCCTTCCCTCCCTTCCTTCCTTCCTCCTTCCCGGCGCCTTCGGAATCCCTCAGCCTTCAGCAGGACGCGTCGGCACCGCAGTAGGAAGGCTCCAGCGATATCCCTCTCTTGTGCAGCACCGAAGACACGAGACGAAAACAAAACCAGGCTTCCTCTACACTTTCTACGTGTACTCGCGTGGTTATATGAATATGATATATACCTATTTATAATTTACTTCTATATATACATATACATATCACACCTCCTTATTCGGCCGCACCGGTTCAAGGAGAAAAGCACTAGGTTGGGCGTCTCCTTCACTAACGTTCTAATACCCAGAGGTTCTGACGATGAGGAAGACAGCTAGGATCTACGATACCGTGTATATATATGAATATATATATATATGTATTTATATATGCTCTATAAGGCAATATAGCAGCTATATGAGGTCCTTTATATAGATCCGTATGAGTAACTTTTACATACTTGAGTTTAGCACTAACTTACGTCCTAGAGAAGGGGTAATATAAAGGAATGATGCGGATATAATATGCATATAGAAGTAGTATGTTATCTGGAGTATATTGTAGGCGCTTCCTAGCAAGACACGTTACGTCACGATTAAAAAAAAAAAGGATTTGTTTCACAGTCACGTCAGGCGCTGTCAAACGTCAACACTACGTCACTATTGTTAACGTTGAAAGAGGATTTGTAAAGCACTTACGACGATATGCAAATTAAGATGCGGCACACTTATTGTTTATATATATAAAAAAAACAGTATGACGTTTTTTGTTGTTTACAATATCACTTTCTGCAGTACACTAAACACACTGGATGTTCTCAGGCTCTTCTCACTTCTCTCCGAATCACCGGTCACGTTATTCCGTTTCCCTCGTTAATTTTTGGCACTTCTTTACTTTGTTTTATAATGGGCGTTTCCTTCTAATTTTCCCCCTATTCTCTTTCCGTCTCCGGCCTTGGGGGCTGATTCATGCGAGCGAAAGGAGAAAGAGGGGGATCGACTCAAGCTATCCGAGGATACTTCTAGACGAACGCCCCTTCCGAATCCGCGTGAATCCACCTCCCGGATCGCGTCTTGTGCGAACGGCGGCGCTCCTCGTTCTCGTGGGCTGGATCCGTTCCCTGCAACTCCGCGTCCAGATGCATCCGTTCGCTTCACGTTCGCTTCACGGCGGTCTTCGTGTATGGCCGATGCTTCCGAGGGAGATTTCTTTTGTTTTTAATCCGAAGTCGTTTCTCTTCCTTCTCTCTCACTCCGAATACCGATCACCACTTCGACGAGGAAATAAAAATTAATCTCGGGTTTCTTATCACACAATTTATCAGCGAATATAATTCCCGTGCACTACACTTCCGTTTATCGTATCTTTAAAAATAATGCCGTATTAAATCGTCCGTCTGGCGGGCTTTCCTGGCGTGACACACACCCTTTCCCGACGGCGTTCGGCGCACAACTGGCGATGGCGGTACGAGCGAGCCGCGCGCTGGCGTCCCGGGTGGCGGAGGTACGGTTAACCCTCCTCTCCTGCTCCTCCGCGCCGCCGCCGCCTCCGTCATGTCGTGTTTCGTTCGGGAAAAGGCGCTGGATCGCGTTCCAGGACGGGCCCCAGACTTCCAAAGACATGCGAGAGCCATGAGGATCGGCCTCCGCCTCGTTCTCGAAGGCTCTCCCGCCGAGAGGGGGTCGGGGGGAGGAGGCAAGGGGAAAAGGAGGGGAGGGAAGGGGGTGAGGGGGAGGGAAGGGGGGTGTTCGCCGTGATCATGTGACGAGGCCGCCTCCCCCGAAAAGCGTCCCAAACGAAAACATTCCCGGGTCCTGCGAGGGGGCTTCGGCCTCCCTTCCCCCCCCCCCCACTCAAAAAATACCACCAGAGGACGCGGCGCCGGTCACGGAGGCCCTCGCTCATCCACTCGACCGACCTCCCCTTTCCCTTTAACTTCAAATACATAAATAAGTTGCTACAGTTCCATAGGCATTGTGAGGGAGAGGGTTGTGGCGTCTGGCACCGAGAGAGGGGAGTGCCTGGGAGTGCCACTGCGCCTGCGTGCCATCGCCAGCGGACGGGCTCCACCATCAACGTCACAGTCCGTTGGGGGAAAGAGGGACTTTATTCCACCGCGAAAGACTATTGCATATCACGAAATAGACGTCTAGCTTTTAATCGTGAAGGAAATTTGTTCAGCGAATGTCCCCGCAGCCCAGGGGGAAAATGGAGGAGAAATGGCACAACCGGCAACTCTACCGCACTCCTCCTACCTCCCCCCTCCCTGTCCCCCCTCCCTGTCCCCCCCT